AGATTCTCAGTGCTGTGCTTTAACCCGCTGCGCCACCAGGGAGGGCCATCATGTTCATTTTTAAACTCATGAACAGTCTTGTTTCAACTACCTTACCTCATTTTTTTTTCGGAAGTAAACCACACATTATTCAGCTGTAATTGCTTCAGTTATATATATCTAAAAGATATGTTTTAATTTAAAATTATTATTCAAAATACTGTTCTGAGAGCTAAACAGTTTCCCCAAATATCTTTTAATTATTTGGACATGTAAGATTTCAAATATGACCATTTAAAAAAAAAAAATTCAACAGTATTTTACAATATTGTAATCGGCCTTATTTCTTTCTTAAATTTCTTTCAAGCTACTAGTGCCTATTCACATGCTTTTTTTCCTTTATAGATTATTTTATAGAAGAAAATGGATAATTAATCCTGGTGGTTTTTCCATATCTACATTTAAAATTTTGCTGATTGCATGTTCCTTATCACCTTTATATTTCCTGTGATTTGATAGAGCAAGAAAAGATTGATTAGAATTGTGTGTGTGTGTGTGTGTGTATGTACTTCTGTTTGCATCTCAGGAATATTTATTGGTGTTATGCACTTCCAGAGGAAGCATGTGATGTCTGCTTGTCTGTTTCATACTTGTAAGAATACCTATGTGTTGACTGAAAGTCAAAATGTAAATGCATGCATTGGTTTGGTAACTTGTGGTTGGTTACTTTAGATTCTGCCAGTAGGAAGGCTTTTCTGAGACAATGGCTTTAAAAAAAATCTGATACTGACATTGTAATAAAGCAACATAATATACAAAGACTTGGGGGTCAGAGTATTCTAGGCAGATGACACAGCTGATGTATAGAGGCTTGGTGTGATCTCAGCAGAAATTAAGAGTTGGAGTGTGTGAGTTGAATCCGGAGGTGGGCTGGGGCCAGATATTTTTAGGCTTTCAAGCAAGGACAAGAGATTTGGACTTTTTACTAAGTTTAATGGTAAGCTTGTTTTTAAAATTTGAGGTACTCTAGGAAGGGGTTTTAAGCTGGAGAGTGGTAATATATGATTTTTTAATTTAAAAGATGTTTTATCCATTGATTATAGAGACCACCAGCATAAGCAGGTAAACCAATTACAAAGCTGTTTAACTTAAGCATGTGGGAGTATGGCTTGGAGAAAATCATTAGTAATGTGGTTGGAGAGGAGTGTGTGCATTTGAGATAAATTTTGGAAGTAGAACCAACAGAATTTGTTGCAAGATGAGATGTAGGGAGAGAAAGAATAAACAATCAAGAATGACACCTGCAGTTTGGTGTAAGGAGTTGTGTGGGTGTGTAATAGTTTCCTGAGATGGAAAAGACTGATGGGGGAGGGAAGCACACTTAGGGAGCAATTTTATGAGTTGTATGCTGGTCTTGTAAATTTGAGACAATTTTTAATATCCCAGTATAGGTTCAGATAGGCCATGTTGTATGAGCCATGGAGTTCTGGGGTTAATACATGGCTTGTAACAGTGATTTGGAAGTCATTGGCATGAGATGTCAGTTAAAATTCTGGGTCATTAAGAAACAAGGTTTTCTGAACAACTAGGAGTCCTCAAAATGAGAAAAAATGATGGGAAGTTTTACCCTGTCTCTGAAAGCCAGCTCACTCTTCAGCTTATGTTTATGGAGCTGAACACATTCTTACGTTATTTCAGAGGATATTTTGGAGTTTTACAGGTGTCTGTTATTAAATTCAGCTTTTTATATTACTGTACTTAGGAGGGGCGAGAGGGTGGAAACATGAAATATTACTGTCTTTATGTGTAGCATTTTATCTCTGTTCAGGTCAAAGACACTGCTTTTGAAATTGCTCTTAATTTTAAAAGTTTATTCTTGCCAAGAACTCTAATGGTGGGAAGATACAAGCTATGTGTTGGCTTAAGAAAATCTTGCCAACATGAGAGATTAGTAGAGTTCTGATTTATGATTTGGCTATTAAAGAATGCTGCTTCAAGTTATGGTGCAGTAAAACTTGTATTGTAAAACAAGTTGGCTGGGTCACAGGGTAACCTCTTTTCATTTTCTTGGCTTTTTATTTGTTTCCTCCCTCCCTCTCACTTTCCTGCCTTCTGCCTCCTTTTCTTTGCAATCATATTTTCTGCAGTATCTTGCATATTTGAGACATTATATAATTTAAGAAAAAATCACTCAATTTTCTTTATAGGAAGGTAAATCTTTTTTTAAAGATTTATTTATGCATACAGAAGTGGGGTACAGGTCAGAGGTTCAGGGGTGATGAGAGGACTCACCAGAGGCAGAGTGGGGAACAGAATAGGCAGATTGACTGAAATTCACTGCTGAGGGGAGCAGTGGGTGAGACAGGAGAGGTCTGTTGCATTATGTGGGTCACCTCCCTGGCCGGGGATGGAACTTGTGCTGAAGTAGTGCTAGCTTCATAGTGCTGCGCTTTAACTGGTTGGACCACCAGGAGGGGCCCGATAAGTACTCTCATTAAACAGTGTAACTCTCTGGTGGTTATCTTTGAGTTTGACAAACTATTAGCATGAACAGGAAATATTCAATAGATAAGTCCTGTCTATAGCCGACGCAAGACAATGATAGTTTCTTTCAAACAAGATTGCCATTTTACTGCTTTATCCCTACATTCAACCAATATTTGAGAGCTCTCTCCAGGTTCCATACGTTGGTAAAACACTGGAGATTTGATATGGATATGTTGTTTGGGAAATGGATGTCATATTGAACAAGGCAGTCTACAGTGACCTATTTTGAGGGATTTTTCTTTTAAAATTCTTAGGGAAATTTCATTAACCACAATTTAGTTTGTCTTATTTAAAGGGTAAATTATAATGTTGAAAATAACAGTTGTGTTCTAACACAGGCCCACATGGTAATGATTAATTTGATTCTTGTAGACCTAGGGAAGAAGTAGCGTGGTATCAAGTGCCTGAGCCATTGAGGATTGGATCATGTGTTTTTTTATTTTTTAAATCCTTAGTTTTTTTCACAGCTGCCATGCCATAAATTCTAGGGAGTGGGTTCCAGCCGCTCATAATTCTTCCATGAGCTCTCACAGTCTGCTTCTCTTGGTGGAGCAGGCTAGTGCTTCAGCTAGTGCTTCATACCTTTCTCTTTGGCTCCCTTTTTCCCCTCATCATTCTCTTTCACGCATAT